TTTTGACCTTCCAAAACTATTCATTTTGCAACGCCCCTCCCCCCTTGACCCCCAAATACTCGCTTCGTTCGCTATTCAGCCTTCAGCCTAGCCTACGGCTGGCTTTCGTAATCTAAAACATATAACTCAAACATTGACTTACAAATTGAATTCGCCTGGCCCGCATGCCGCAAAACCGCTTAGCAGGAGTCCACAGCTCGCCACTCAGAAACTCCGAGACATGCCACTTGAAGAGTATCGACAAGTGTGTTACTAAGCTACTCCATAGGCTGCACTGAGTGGGTTTCCGGTTTTATGTATATACCTCGGGGAGCTTCTTCTGCCACCTCCGCAGGGGGTGCTGGAGGAGCCGGCGGTGGAACTGGCCCCGCAAGTTCAGCCATGACCTCGCTGGGGTGCCAAGAAAGATTCATCTCTTGTATTTTAGCCTAGAAAACAGCTTGACACTTCCTATTCTCCCAGCAAGTTGCGGCAAGTTTGCAATGCTTGGCTACTGAAACATCTCAATATGCACGTCCATCTCTGCAACTTTGCCTGGCCTCGTGACCTCGCGTGCGATGCAGAAGGGAGGGCGACGGATGGCTAGAGCTGCGAGCTGCGGAGCACGTCCAGGATGGGCAGCATGGGTCCGATCTCAACTGAATGCCAGCTTGGTTCTGACCTACTCCAACTGACCCTTTTGGAGCCTCCAAAGAGAAATCCAATGAATTCATCGTCAAGGCACCCGGAGTCGAAGCCTTTTCCAGGTCACTGGAAGCTTCTCCTTCAAAGCAAGGGAAGTTCCAGAGGGGGTCGCGGACTCAGACCTACGCGGCTTTCTAGATCTTGGCAGGGAAGCACTAGAAGGACAATGGCCCCCCCGCGAACATGGCCAGGAAGCAAACGGCTGGTCGATTCAGCACGAGTCCGGAACGAGTGCATTTGGACTTTGGACCAACCCAATCTGCACTAGTCATCCCAAAATGAGGTACGGTAGAACTATGAACATGTCCATACTCTATCATACTCTCACTTCTAACTGACTGCATTCCAGTGATGTGGCTGATGTGCCTCGCCAACGGCCAGGCAAGCCTCTGCGTCGTGTACACATACACTGAGATCCAAATACAAATACACGACAACCATACTGCTTGCCACCCAACATGGGATTCTAAGAGCCCTCTGCGAAAGAGTTGCAACAATAGCTCGAGCTGTCTACTATTCAAATTATTCTTGTGATATCTTGTGATCTTGGTTTGTCGGGCCTTTGGGGTGTTTCAGGCCAAGGTATAGATTGACGCATTTTTTCTGGTGGTTCTCTCTTCGGAACAGCGGAGATTGGGAACAAAGAGGGCGCTGGTGCCATAGGGCGAAGCAGACCAAGGTCTGCCAATGGTCTCAGACCGTCAATTTTGGTTGCTGCAATTGCCAATTGACCTGAGAAAAAATGTCAAGTTGCGTGGAACGTTTGCATCAATGGTACATACTTACACTTGTGGCCGTGGCTATCTGCAACCGCTTCTGGGTATCATTGCTAGGCCATTCTAAGCTACAGTAGCAAGTGGCCAAAGCTGGCATGAGCAGTTGCACAAGCCACCGACACACCGAATACAGCTCGTGCTTGGGAGGCCCTGCCCACGCCGAAACTCTGGGCCTCCTCCCAGTCAGCGCAAACTTTCACTAAGGCTTCCTTGAAACTCCTGGCCAGGCTGCTTCGACAAACGTGTCGCCCCCGGAGGGCTCGGCGCCACGTGGGGACCCCTGTTGGCACCACACCATGGGTGCAAGGACCTCTTCTTGGCAGATTGAGGGGTAACAGGGGGCTCTTTTGGCGTGGGGTGTGACCGATGAGGTGCTGCAGGAGAGCCAAACAGATTTGGTTGCAAAGGAAGAGGACCTACGACCTTTAGCAGCTGCCGCAACAAAAGCCAGCAACGACGTGAAAACAACGAGTAAATCGGACATTCCGGCGTGATTCGATGCAGGTTTTCCTGATTGATGAGTGCAAACAAATTCACAAGTCCATTCAATCCAAAGGAAACCACTTTAAACACAGAATGCTTGGCTCCTCGACACACCCACTTTTACAAGCTGTATTTGTTCTGGCCCACCCCGCTATCTTTGAGACCAATGGACTTGCGGCCTGACAGACATGTCACCGCGCGCGGGAAAGGTAAAGCCGTCGCTAACCTGCCAGCAGTGCACTGGAATTGCTGTTGGAGAGGGCTTGGTTCACATGCTACTCGTGAAAGCAACCCACAGAGGCTCTCCAATACTGAGATCTGACAAGCTATTGTGGACTCCAAGGAACATGCTCTCAACTTCGGTACTGCGTGCCACACATCTCAAAGGTGTCTCTTGGCTTCGGCCGCTTGGCTTCGGTACGTGGAATTGGGTCCGCATGTCCTGATGGGTTGCCAGTCTCCAACTGAAGGCACTTGGTAGATGCACTATGAATCAGCAAACATCCAAAACTTCCCTTGCCGCGCCATCCAAATGTGTTATCCATGCTCTCTCCTCAAAAAATAACACATCATATGCCAAAAGATGCGTCGTTCTTATGGTCGGCAGAACAGCACACCCCTCAGATCTGTCAGGATCCGTTCCATCCGTTCCGAGAAACCATCCGTTCCGGCCTTGTGATTCCCATTCTCGTAGGTGTACCGTGAGACCTACGAGGAATTCGCTCCCGGCAGACCATGCACTGCAATGAGGTGAGGGATTCCAAAGTCTTCAAATCAGCTCCTTCATCTGAGAGGCTTTCTTTCTGCATGTGAGATGATTATGACCCGGAGCATCCTGTGCCAAGCCCGACATCGTCATGTCCAAGGCCGCATGAACAAAAACACAACCTCTGAATCAATAACCTGGAAATACCTGGAATATCCGCAAAATAATCATTGACCCTCCATGTGCAAGCGAAGCCACTGAGCATCAGTGAGCTACTATGAAATTATGAGCTATTCAGCTATTCGTTCAGCACGCCACCACATTTGCTGACTGCTTGCCGGTGCGGTCCACCTTCAGCATCGACTCGTCGGGGCCACACGGCGCACCGTGGCCCACGAAGACGTAATCGATCTCCTGAAAGCCAGCCTGAAGGTGAACGCCCACGGACTACGGGTGGAACGCATAGAACTGCGTTCTTGTTTGAAGAACTCAAACAATGACAACCACCGTCGGTCCGTGAAGTGTACAAACCGTATAATGAAGTGATGATGGATGCAATTCCGGGCTGTCGCTGCCTGCATGTTGACCAGCTAAAATTCCAATATATATATATATATACAGTATATCATAGTATATCCCTTTTCGAGGTATATCAAATAGTTCTATAGTTCGAACTAGGTTGAACTATAGGATGTGTTCTGATTGTTTCTGATATTCCACCGGCGTCTTGGCCCCGGTTGCGGGCTTGAAAAAGCGGATATTTACTTTGGGCCGGTTGCGGATGTTTGTGTGGCTCACAGACGATATAAGGTAAGTTGAACTACCGACCAAGCACGAGGTTGCAGGTATTGAGCCAACATGAACATCAGTGAAACAAGTTGAACTGGGCGGCTTCGCCTTCTTATCCCTTGTTCCCACGGCACATCAGCAACGGTGCACATTGCATATCGCATCTATGTGTATCTATATGATCTATGATCTATCCGTCTATAAATTGGTATGTGCAGCATGTGCATTTGCAAACGTATCCTTCTATGACCTTCAATATATCTAATATATCTGTGTCACATATATAGTCTTCAAAACCTGAAGCGCTATGAATGACTTGCACACAAGAGAAATCAACCGAACGAAACGCGCACCCACGATGCCTGCCGCAGTGTTCGAGTCTCATCTTTGAACATCGCTGGCCTTGGTGCGCAAGTGCTGTTTTCGTCCCACGGCCGTGCGACGGACACATTGTAGTCCGACTCACTGACATGGAAGTGTCAGAAGGATGAACGTGGCCCCTGCGAAGCCTGTTTTTTTCCTATTCCTAGAGATCGGTGTTTCAGCTTCCACGATAATGAGACGAAGGGTAGTTGAATGTCTTAGTGCATCAGTTGATTTGGCATCGCGTTCGTGTTCGGTGTTCGTGTTTCGTCTGTACTGATGGGGGGCCACATGGTCTCGATGACTTCGTGCCACGAAGCGTGCTTTCTTCCCGGCAAATGTCTGGTATGATGTCGTGCTTGGAATTCCAGGTGAAACAGGTGGCATCTTTGGCTCTGTTAACGGTCAAGCAGCCTGCCTTCTTTCTCCAAAAGTCCTGTCTAGCTCTTGAAAAAGGCTTGGACCAACATTGGAAGTGAAACACTGAAGAGCACGAGCCTCTGAGTACTCTGTATATACATTGGTTTGACCTAGCCTATAGTCAAAAAAAATAGTCTAGTCTTGCATGTCTATGCTCGCTTTATCTGGAAAGTGATGTCACTTGTCTTCGGACTTCAGGCGCAAGGCAGCCACACTACCATCTTGTTCTGCCAAAAATCTCAATCAGTAAAGAGCTCATCAGGCTTCGAGAAGTACTTCACCTTCTGATCGATGGGCACACAGACTGAGAGCACACCCTGAAGTTTATCCCATTTCGCATTGCCCGCATCTTTTCGGACCTCAGCGCGGGTCGTGCTGGACAAGGTCGGATCAAGCAAATTAATGATGTCTGTTCAGGCGCTGTTTTCCTTATGTTTCGATGGTCCTCCAGCACATTTCAAGATCCAGGCTCGCCTATCGATGCCTCAGGACTGAAACGAGGCTGCAAAGGAGAGAAAGGTACACTCTCACTGTTCAGCCTGCGGTCGAGTCAGCCATCACTGTGGTCGACTCTGGAGACTCAGTGAGTCTTGGAATCTGACCCTCCTTTTAGATGGGCCAATTCGGCTTTCTGGTTGGCAACCAGGCTTTCAAGCACACACGCTTGAAATGAGGAAGGGCATGGTTCTTCCAGGTGGCCCATCAATTTACAAAGTATCACTCAGAACTTGAACTGAACAGTATATGATATGTTTATAATATAATATATTGTTAGTATTTTTGGCTTGCCTGATTGGACCATCCGATCCTCAATGCACAGTCAGCTTAAGACATCAACATTCAACTCCTCACAGTCCAGAACTGGTGACCTTCTTTCTTAACCCAATGGATCTTTACTGGAACGTCAACCTTTCACCATATACTCTTCGGCATTGGACGCACGGCGAGTACTTCCTCCGCCAGGCGAGTACGTCCAAGGCCTGTGGCCGCCACCCTTCTTCATATTCCCAAACAAAGAAGACACGACCCCAACTCCTTTTGGGGAGCTCGAAAGTCACCACGTCCACTTTCGGCACTTCCTTGCTGTTTCCCTTGCCAGGCAGCTTTATGAGGCAGCGCGACATTGAGCTGATGTTTGGTGGCTTGCAGCAGCAAACGGTCTTCCAGAACATCTACTGAGATATCTCTGAGCTGCTCTCCTGGCAAACCCAAAGGATCCACGAACGACATAATATCCACGGTCACTGGTCACCCTGTATTTATATAATTACAGATTACAACTTAGATATTCATGTCTATCATGGAGCCCTTTCCAAATTATCCAAAGTCTATCTGTCCATCTGCTGAGGGATGACTAGAAACAAATTGTTGAGGGAAACATGGGTGGCAGGATCCGTCATTGACCTTTGTGTGTCGGGGACCAGTTGCCGTGCCAGGGTGGAAACTAGTATATGTTTATATACCTTAATTGACTTGGGCCGGAAGAAAGGCATCAGGTACATCACGGTACACCTCTTGGTCCATTGCGTCTCTAATTGTTTGTTCATCGTGAAGAGCTCCACCAGCATCGAATCTCCATACGGTCCATACGGGATGGTTCGGACGAAGGTTCCGCTCCAAAAGCTCCAATGGACCGCTGGTGGTGGCCGCTGGTGGCCTATGACTTTTGGCGAAAAACCACGGGCCTGGAAGCCAAACTTTGATGAGCAGCTCTTGACACCGATCGCTCGAGGGATCCATTTCTTGCCTCGGACGTTCGAAAGCCGGAACGATGTAAGTGATTGAAACAGTCTGATACACTGTGACTTAAAGTGGCATTGCATTGAACTTCGTGCAGTGCTACACGATTGCTGGACTGAACTATATTAGTTCAAACGAGTACAAATTGCAATTGCATAATTACCTCAAAATATCTTAAGTATATGTAGTGCTCCGATTAAGCTTGGGCAAGTTGCAAATTCAAGTAGGCATCTGATGCTTGTAGCTTTTGCCGCGGTAGTATCTCATACTTCCTTGGATGAGCAGGGCCTTGCATACGACTTACACAAGCAATGCGTTGCCCTCTGAACCCCACATGTGGTGCCAATGAGCGACCTTCCCAAGCAGTTGGAAAGAACCATGCTTGCAACATCCCCGTTGAAAGCAGTTGGGGGAGGGGTTGGGGGCGAGCAGGGGGACTAAGGGGACCAGGTTTGGAGTCAAAAAGCTCTGACCCAAGTTGCTTTGCCATCTACAAAATTGATGTACCAGAGTGGGCGTGTACAAAATGATGATGCCTCAAGATTGCTATCTTATGCTTACAGGTGCATAGCCATCCATACAGCGAAGTGATTTCTCTACAAAAAATGGTGTTCTGTAGGTGCCAAAAACTGCCTCGTTACAAAATGGCACCTCTGTAAGGGCCTCAAGCTCTCCCTTTTTGTAGAGAAAATTTCAACGGGGATCTTGCAACGGTGATTTTTGCTACTGGGAGCCGGGCGCCCCACTTTTTTCACCCAGTGGCGGGATGGCACGATCATCGCCTTCGCTCTTCACCACCACACCAGAGGCCGCTTTGAATTCGTCAGCTTGCCAAATAGCCTTCTCATCCTGCTCAGCCAAGCAAACGAAGCACATTTAATCGAATCTAATAAACACACCGCAAAAAGAACCGCCTATGATTCCAATGTGCACCTTCAACACATCTGATGTCGGATTCTCCATTGGAACCCCTCCTTCTTCTTCGGCTGTCTCACTGCTACTTTCATGTTCGGCGGAGCTTGACTCGGCTTCCCTCCAGCCATGGCGGCAGGATGTAACCTCGACTGAAATCCAAAAAACACGAGGAAAAGCACAGCAAGGTGATATGGTGCAGCTTGATATGGCCTGCACGTAAACATCGAGAACCAAGCGGCTTTCCTAGCTTGAGCCAAGGGAGCTTGAGCCAAGGGTCCATTTCTAAGCTTTTTCAACAGACCGTGAATCGCATGTGTCTCCGCATTGCAATGTGGTTTGGCAGTCATCCATGGAATCACAACGAACAGAACTTGCCTGCCTTTTGACCCCCCTGCTAAGCATTGAGCCGTTAGTGGTTTAGTATGGTTCAGTAAAGTAACCATCCAAAGCCGGGGTGAAGGTGGTGTCGAGAAGGTGCTCATAAGGACGGTGTGCACGTTCTGCCAAGTCACGAGGGAGGCTTGCTCCGCTCATCTTGCTCCTCTTCCCTTCCCACGCCCAGCAGGTCCATCAAGCCGTGCATCTGATCGGCTGTGACTCCAGGTCCCGTGGGAGCCGCATAGCCATCCAAGGAGAGTGCCATGGCCAAGGTCCCGTGGGTCGCGCCGCCCACGCCACGGTGGAGACTTGAGACTGATTGAGACGGTAGAGGATGATCAAACACACCACTCTTTGGACGTCCCCCAGGATTGCAACAGTTATCACGGTCAAACAGTTTTTTGGTGTGCGGCTCTCTTGCATTGGACATATTTGTGAGTCCCCTATCGTTTCCCACTGTTTTGGACTCTAGTTAAAGGGTATCGTTGTTTTGTGAGCCTCCTATCGTTTGCCGGGGCTTGGAGCATGCCACGATATGAAGCTTATATATACAATTGCAAGCATCGCGCATATTGAAAGCACTTCATAGTACCTCATAATATGCAAACGTTTTGGAAACAGGTGTTGCCAGAGCTGTCAGCGGATCAGGACCTGAGGTCAAGTGCATCTCGGGTCCGGGTAACATCAAGGATCCTTTCTACGTTCGTTGTCAACTTCGAACCGACTCAACGGTCGGCCTCACGAGGTCGGTCCCGACCCCTCTCACCGCCGAGAAGCGCGTGCTGTGACTTGGAGAGGTGGAGATCTGAAGAGATCCCCAAGACCCCCGCGATGCGTGCCTGCCGATATTGAGCGTGCCTGTGTGTGTGTGCCTTTCGAGTGAGTCGGCAAACGAACATCGGAAAGGGGGGTGGTGGGGGTCTTGTGTTTGGTGGGTCTCTGGATGTGCAGTAGCAGTAACACATTCAGTACGGGTGTCATCCCTCCGACGGGACGAACATGGGAGGACTGTCTTCGACCGGCTGACCAGGTCTGCCGCACATCTCGACCGGCTGGGGGCGAAGCCGCGAGACCGGCTGACCGACCAAAACGCTGGCCGTGTTTTCACTGGTCTTCACGAGACACTAAGTCAGTCCTCATGGGCCTCGGGGGAAGCCGAGTCCTCTTTGGTCAAGAGATGTCAGTCAAGAAGAAACACAGATTTCAGAAACAATTAATTCACGCAACCAATACCAAAAAAGATCCAAAAAGAATCCCAAAAACAGTCAATCGCATGGGTGTTTGAATCTCCATGGATGGAGACACCAACGGTACGAGAGCGTCAAGAAATCTGAGAAAAAAGAAACAAGCACAAAACTGATTCACTACCAGTAATTTCAGGTGTTGCAGATCTCATCCATCAATGAATCAACAGTAGTGCAGTGAATTGGAAGTGTACAGTCTCTATATATATATATAGATATATTGTTTTAATATATATATATACTTAATATTAATGTATAGATATGATTATCGTATATGGGCATGGGGAAAACAGCTGGAATTATGTGAGTATGGCATTGTATGGCCTCATCTCCATTGCCTAACGTCAAGTTTGTGCATCCTCTAGGGATAGTCCTTGCTCCTCCAGGCAGAAAGCTTTTTGATCCAGGGGTTCGCATTCGTATGGTTTCTGGTGTTCACTCGCTTATCGTTCACATCAGGATCACGATCGCGGCTCAGCGTGAAACATTCCCATGGCCCATGAGCAAATCTCAAAGAGCAGTTCGCTTCTTTGGTTCCAAAAAATCGACTCATTCATTTGGCAATGTAGGCTTCAAACTCTAGCGCGTGGGTTGATTACCCGCTGCTTTCTTGCGACCAAAGTCGGCAACATGCGGCAACGCATTGCGCATCACGTTCACCGGGAAATTCACACACTATTCAATACCGTGCAAGCCTATGAGAAAACACACGGCTCTGAACAATAAATAATCCTCTTGTTCCTGGCAGTGTCAGCTCACGGAATTGAAGCAATTGGCTTTCGTGTGGGACTCAGGTCCCTGCTATTGACCCCCCACAAAAGAAGCCCAACAAACATCAACAAACACACCATTTCTGGCAAAACACAAAGCAAATCACCGGGGGATCAAGGACCGAAGGAGTCGCCCCTTTGAGGCGATTCCTTCAGCGAGGATGAACCTTTTCTGGAGATCCGTTGGGGCTCCCTCGAACAGCGGCCACATGGACTGAGTTGGGCGATGTGGGGAACTAAGAGGCAAGCAGTTGACCTCCAAACCCTATGGTTGATCATGGAGGTGTGGGAACCCTCCCTTTGGATCTCACTTGTCCAGGTTGACAATTCGTTAAGAAACGATTCATTTAAAACATTGAAGCCACTGAGGCTCTACTGATGGCTAGAAGGGCATGGGTCGCACAAACAACTTGTCTTTATCTGGCTCGTCACAGTTGGGAATTCAAAGGCAATCAGGGCAACCGCCTATGAACATGCAACCTTCTATCTGCTTCGTCTCGGCATCTGCAGATTATATAGTAACTTCTAAAGCCTCTGACCCATACCAACATCGCCAAAATTCACATATATCCACTCAAACCACCGCCGACGTCTTTGCTCTCATGTAGGTGCCACTTGGTTCATACGCGCAGGAGGTTGAGAGGCCATTGACACCAATGGAAGATCCGTGACCTTCACTGATGTCTGGCAAAAGGTGGAGAGAGGCTACAAAATCAGGGTGCCTTCACCACTCCCTAAGGCCTCCACAACCGAATTGGTCTCAGACTGGTCTGGCGCGAGACCAACTTTTGGGCCTCTGGATGCTCTGATTGAAGGGGAGGCTCTGTGATAGGCTCATAGGTTGTAAGTACTGTTGTAAGTGTATTTGTTCATCTTTTTCCATATGTTTCTCGTCCAAGGCCGGTCCAAGGTCCTGTCCCATAGCCTGTTTCCGGCTGGACCAAGTGGCTTCCCTGCACAAGGTTGCACTATTGTTGAGCTCCTTGACGAAGCAGCGGGCATAGACCACCGTGTTCGCCGTCACATTGGCATAATCGCGGACAACCTGGTGAGGGACGTATATTGCAATTTGCAAGTAAGCCCGGGAGTTCCAATTACCTCGCTAGAAGGTTTGGGATGGGTTGGAGGGTCTAAGAGGTGTTTGATTGCTTTTGAAGGTTGTTTTGGAGTCCTGAGAGGAGAATCCTTCCATTTTCTTGTGTCTCCCTTCTCAATTGCACGTGATGCTTCACAAGGGGTCGAGTGAGGGAATTGGGACGACACTCACAAGCTTGGTCAATACTAGCTGCCGAGACAGGAGGTTCAAGAAAAGCAAGGTCAACATCTTGCAACAGTAGACCGCAACATCAGTTGCCTCTTGCCTTATGCCCTATGACCTGGCAAACTCAGTAGGTTGCTGCAACGGCACAGCATTGCGAAAACAGTGCTGCAACATGCGACTCTAACAGCAAATGGATTTCAAAGACCAGTGAAGGTCCCCCCAGCGACTCAACGTGGCAAAAGCAACATCCAACTGCATGGCCCTCCTCAGCCTCAGAACCGAGAACCTCAGAAGCCCCGAGGGGGTGAATCCCATCACCCCCGTGCAGCATTCATGCCAAGTTGGCACCAAAGGGAGGTCAATAACCAACAGCGAGAAACAAACAAAATGTGGGTCTAACCGTAACTTGTTCTGGCTTGGGTGTTTTCCTTTGGAACAGCCGAAGGATTTCCCAGTCAGTCAGGGCACGAAATAGAACTGCTCCGTGGAGACCAGCAAAGCTTTGCTTTCCAGCACGGCCTTGAAGCAACATCACCCACTTTTTTTTATTTCCATATTTCCATGTATCACCAAAACATCTATATTAAACCCGCAACCTGGGGGGGACAAGAGTTTACATGACTTCTTCAATTTCTTTCATGCAATCATTTTCGGTGAACTGACAGAATACTCAACTTAAGATAGGAGGGGGTAAACGAAAAGCAGCTAGCAGGTTTATTGATCTAGCTTTGTATTACCTAATATTGGATTCCGGGCGTTTTTTTGCACGCTGCCAGTTTCCCGGGTATCATGCATTTTGCTAAAGTAAGAAGAACTCAGCAGGGACAAGAAGGGAGTACCCAACATATTTTGAGATTTCCTCGTCGCGTGCAGAAGGGGGGCACATACACCCTGGCCGGGGACGTTTCACGAATCAGTTCTGTCCACCAATATTTATCTTCGTTCGGTGTGCGCATTGCCAACATTTACACGTTGATGAAGATCCTGCTTGGCTTGGGACATTCCAAACCTTTCAAACATCTCAATGTCAAGTGAAGTGCCATGATTAGTTTGTCTAATTATTAGGTTTTGTTGCTTCATCCACACAAAACAACAAGATTAACAGAATGAACGTTTTAAAATGCCACATACTGCCTGGAGGTGACCTTGATATCTCCATCCTGACACCCACAGGGCTGGCTCGGCAATGTACTCTCCAGCTTCGAGCATGGTCCTGACAAACATTGACGAATCTGTCCGCCAACGACCTAAACGAGTAGTCCCAACAAGTAGGCAAAACCGCAGCAACCCCCAGTAACGCCAGTTGCGGACGGACACTACATTAAACAGCCCTGATAGGGGGTTCTGCCAAAGGCCATCTATTCCGGCTGGTTGGACTGTTTGGGCCCGTTGCGACGCAGGTTCTCGGAAACCAGGTGTCTGAGCCATGTCAGGTCTGCGGGAAGAGCTTCTCGATGGCAAAGCTGGTGCAAGGCCAAAACCAAACAAATCAGCAATGCTTTGGGCACTTACCGTTCTGGGCCTTGCTGCTTCAGGCACCTAACATGTGAAATTCAAAAGCAAATGGGCATGTCGGAATGTACCAATAAAAAAAGAGGGTGGGTGTGCTTGGGAGAGCACACACTAGCTCAAAACCCTTAGAAAACACTGTAAATACCGTGCAAATTTTCAAAAACTGCTCTGAGAACTAGGCGAAACGCATTTTTTTGATCTGTCTGTGCCCAGTCTCCATGTCCAATGTCAATGACAACAAATAACAGCTCTTCGTCTGCCCACTATCAATGTGCAACACCAATGATAAATATCATCAGGTAAATCTCTCTCTGCCCACAATGAATGTAGCATCATGAGCGAATGAAAATATAATACTATACATCTCTAGATTCAATAGCTTTCCTCTGGATCTCTGGGAAAGTAGATTTCCTAGATTTGTGTATTTTCATTGAAGGAAAGCATTTGAAAGAAACACTTACATACATACGTATAGCTGTTTTAAAATACCATGACTATTTGCAGAGATCCAGAGGAAAGCTTTTGAAATGAAAACTTTATATTTTTTCACAGAAGTGATCAGATCTAGAGGGAACCTTTTGAATTAGAAGTTTGTACATAAAGCAGTTTTAATATAGCAATGATTATTCCAATAAGGGATTACTTTAAACAAATACTATCTACTCAAAAACATAGTTTGTGTCTTATTCCCAGCACTCCTAGGGCAAAAAACACTGTAAAATATAGGGTTTTGTAACATGTGTGTTCTTAAACTAACTAAACTGGAATTAAAATAGAATTAGGCAAACTTAAATTAGAAGATTTCAATCAAGATCCGTTTAACATTGATTGTGGAATTTGCTATTTATTAGATATTAGATTGCAATAACAATCATTTCCAAGTTCTCTTTAAAACTCATTGTGGAAACTAGTTCTTACAATTAGATTTTAGTTAAAGTCCTTTTCAAAGTTAGTGGTGGCTTTGATTTAATATCAGATTGTGCTTAAAGTCAATTTAAGATCAATTGTGGAAATTGTGATGCTTAACTAACTTGAATTGATTTTGTATCTGTTTGCTCCCCACTACAAGGCTACTTCAAATAAAAGGACTTTAACTAACATCTAATTATAAGAATTGATTTCCACCATTAACTGTTGACTGAAAGTTAATTTTCACAATCAATTCTAAAAGGGTCTTGATTGATATCCAATACACAAGCAATTCAATCAAATTATGTTGAAAAGAACTTAAATTAAAATCTAAACAACAAGCAATTTCCACAATGATTTTGAAAAGGACATTAATTGACATTTAAGTAATGCCTAATTTCTACAATGAAATATAATAGGATTTTAATGGAAATCTAATTCAAAATCAATTGCCACAATGATCTTGAAAAGGCATTTAATCGAAGTTGAATTACACATTAATTTTTCTATAATTAATCTTGAAGAATGTTAATTGAAATCTAATATAAACATCAATTTCCCCAATGATTTTGACAATGATATAAATGAAACTTAGTTTGTAAAACATCTACAATTAATCTTAAACCCATTTTTAATAGAAAGCTAATGATACATCAACTTCCACCAATAATTCTGAAAGCGTTTTAATTGAAGTCTAATACCAAAATCAATTGAAATCCAATTTAACATCAAATTCCACCGTTAAACTTAAATGAAGCAAAAACACTGTGTTTTACAGTGATTTCTTGCAAAATCCTCTCCAAAATTGAGGTTTTGAGCTATTTTTTTAGCAATTTTGTGAGATCCTTGATCAAAAAATAGCTCAAAACCTCAATTTTGGAGAGGATTTTGCAAGAAATCACTGTAAAACACAGTGTTTTTGCATCAATTTTTGCATGAAAAACACCTTCCCAGGAGCACCCGTTCTGTAAAAAAACCGGCGAACGGTAAGACCTCGGGTAAGTTGCCAAGTGCGAACTGGAGAGAAGTGTTGAAAGTTTTCAGTGACTACTCTTGGCGGAGTTTTGGAACATTTGTGGGCTTGCTCAGATTGTCTCAGGGGAACTAGGTTAATTTACCTCCTTTTCCGAGTGCCTGATAGCTCGCCGTTAATTTGGAAATAGACCAAAAGTCCTGTCTTTCATGTCTTTTCCCACTTGCCAGCTGCGGGTCTCCATTTATGAAAGGTGCCAGTTGCCAGCTGAAGCCGATGCATGCACGGAACCGCATACCATATAGGGAGTGCCGCTTGGTCTGGGCCGTTGCGGGCCCGCGCAGGATAGGGAACTCCAGCCGTGTGTGGGCACACACAGGCCCGAAAAGCAAAGAGCTCCAGTTAGGTCTGGGCACGCAAGGGCATGAACAGGATATGGAGCGCCAGCCTGGTCAAGGCACGCACGTACCAGCAGACCAAGCGCTAGCACGGTCCGGGCACACACTGACCTGAACACATAGCATTCCAAATAGAATGCCCGAAAACATGCCAGAACAAAAACACAGTCAGAAGATATGCAAGTTAGAATGCCGGAAGATATGCCAAATAGAGTCAGAGTGTCATAAAGGATGTCAGAAGGTATGCCCGTTAAAATGTCAGACGCTTTGGCACATAGCATGTCATTATACATGCCAGATGGAATGCGAAGGATGTCAGAAGATATGCAATTAGAATGCCTGCATCATTGCCATATAGAATGGCCAAATCATATGCCAGAAAGTATGTTAGAACATATGCGGGAACAAGTGGCAGGCTTGATGCAATAATACATGTCGGAATAAATGGCAGAACACAGATCAAAGCCGAAGCCAAGCCGCATGTACCAACATATGCCACAGTGGTGCCGGAGCGCATGTCAGAAGTGAATGCCAAAAAATATGTTGGAACGCGTGTCAATGTCAGGGCCAACAATAGCGTGGGAACTCATTCCAGAACAATTCCCAACTTTTTTGAATATGTTATATAAGATGTGCCAGAACACATATCAAATCATACCAGACTTGATTCCAGAACAAGTGTCAGAACATTTGTCAATGCACAGTTCAGGTATATCTGTCAATACGTGTGCCCTGCCTTCTTCCAAATCGTCGATCAGGGTGGGAATCAGTCGAACTAAAGTAAGATTCCTGTGTGCAAAAGTTGTCCTTTTGAACTTAATGCTTTCACTTGTTTCCAATACTTGGGAAAATTGAGGAAAATGACCTGACCACGTCTGTCTGAACTATAAGTTGTTTGCGTGAACAGCTGCCGAATCATGTCGGGCACCAGTCGGAAATTTGGACATTGACAATTTTTCTGAATTCCCGAAATTGTTTGTTTTTCTCATACTTCGACTTGCATTCGGACACGAACAATTGCTGAATGTTCTCACATAATTTCTGATTTGTATTGTTAGCACGGCCAAGGTACTTTGGGTGGGCTTTGGAAAGGACGTGGGTAGAAATAAATGCCCAAACCTGCTCCCAACAAATACATCCCTTGAATCTTGTTGGCGGTGTTAAAGATCGTGTCACCGGCCAGCAAATAGAGCTCGGATACAGCTTGACTGCCTCAGCGAAGTCCAGCATTCTTCAAGTGAAGAAATTACTTCAAGGACTTTGGAGCACTTAGGTTGGAGGCCATCGCTACTAGGTTGGAGGCCATCGCTAGTCGGTTGGAGGCCATCGCTATTATATAGGTTCCTTGAAAGTTCTCTTTGCACTGATTTGAGACTGATGCAGTTGCGACTTTCGTGGCTTCAACTCCCTACATTTGAAGGACCGGAAAGGCACTCTGTAAATGTGAAAGGCACCAAGACTTCGTTGAGAGACGAGCTGCAAAGGTTCAACTCCATCGAAAGGTCTTGAAGGCCGATATCCTTGAACAACGCATGATGGTGAAGAATCGGGCTACGTCCTCAAGGCCAAATTCTGCATCCACAGAATAACTATGTCAGTCATACTATATCTCTATGCACCCATTCCTCCACCCATTCAGTCAATCCAGCAAAGAAAGAACCGGGTCTGCAGGCTGTCACTTTGCTATTCCCCTTTCCCCTCTCTCTCTCTCTCATGTTCAAAGCAAATGCCGTTAAAGGAATGCAACTGGGGACATGTATGGAACAAACCCAAGGACATCTAAAAACGCGTGTGTTAGGATATGTTGTGTAATATATTTTCTCCGGCGAAACGTGCTTTAAGGCGTGTTATAATGCACATTGACAGGTAGCCAGTATTCAGCGTAAAACAAACAAACAGTCATTTCATTTCACTGGTCACCAGCCAACTGGCATCTCCTTCTTGAAAAAGTTCTCGAACCATCCCCTCGGGCAAATTCTGCAAGAGCGGCATGTGGCTTTGGAGCTCGTTCCGGGTGTGCTCTCGTTGCACATAACGCTTGATCTGCATAGTGTAGGCATAAGAGATGCCATGAGTTCCACAATACCTGCGAACTGACTGGAGGATATCCCTCATCTGCACCCTCTGTCGATTGATCTCAGCCATCCTGTTGGTGATGAAGCTCACCTCAAATTGGCTTCATCTGTGCTGGCTTCAACTGCTTCTTCAGACCGAGTTCTGTGAATCTGAAAGCCTTCGACCAGTTGATCTGAAATCACTCCCTATGATTACCCACCCTGATTGGAGCATGTGTGCGGTCGCATTTCGCTCCATTTCACTTTGCCTCCTCAAACAAGTTAAACCCGGCCCGCCAAGTGATTAGCCTCAGGTTTTGCGGGGCCCTCAGGTCAGGAACTGGTATGAAGTAAGAAATGTGATGAAGTGATTCATTCATAACACCCCAACATGTCCGACGTGACTCTTTTTCTGTTCGCTTTTTGAGGCGCCATCATGAGGTGCCCATGATACTGATGATATCGATGCGCCATGAACGAGCTGGGGCAACGTATCGGCAGGATAAAGGGCCCATGAACGGGCTGTCAATATCTGTAATGCCTTTTGAGATGAGATATTTCCATGCCAGCACAACAGGTCCAAACTCTGTTAGGTGTTCTTGTTTCTTTCGACGTACGGCAGCCTTTGCTCGTTCCAGGCCTTGAGATCCACCAGTTGCGCAACATGGTCTTTTCGCAAATGGTCCTTTTGCGTCTCATCAAACATCATCCAACTGTTTCGGGTCCTCATCACCTAGTTGAGTTTAAACATATCTGATTCTTCAGGTACCCTTCCCACCTGTTCTTGCACTTCTTCTGAACACCTACTTCACTGCTCGCGCACACAGTGTCTGCCACCTATCCACCTCCTATGAAAACAACTGTATAAATCTATAACTTTTCTTGTGCCCCTTACTTCTGCCTTGCCTGACCCCCACGACACGCCCAAACTCACACACTCCCCAGTCCCTACAGTCCCTACACGTCTCAAAACCACAAACGCTATGGCCGAATCCCAAACATCTTCAGTCCCCCCTCTTCCTTGCCTTACTAAACAATCCACAGGCCAAGACGGAACAGTCTCATCATATCTCAAGGCACGAAGAGAGAGCTTGACATCAGGGTCGCTGCAGTGGCAAAGATGCCCAACCATCTCTCAGCCGCAGTTTCCAACTCTACGATGGTCCTCCTTGCGGAGAAAAAAGGGGTAAACACACGTGAGGTGATTACCGGTTTAGGGGGGAGGCACGTCAGGTCGAATGTTCAGTCTTTTGGGGTCCGTCAGGCGGCGTTAAAGACCCCCATTTTGCCTCTGTACGTTGTGCCTTGACAACGGTTTGAAGTCAGAAAACGCAAAGAAATGCAGCAAACAGCAAATCGTCCGTTTGAAGATCTAATCCAGTGATTTGTTCCGCACAATGGCGGAACAACACATAATCTTTGGTGTGGCCTCCTACCCTCCTACAGTGATCTGGGATGGATACAGTGGGATACAGGGTGATCTAGTGACGCAGTAGCATGAGCATACTGTACTGAAATAACCATGCCACTAATAAGAGGGAAGCACACTTAAACAAAGTGTGCTTGAATCAAGCCCTGCTTGATTCATGGACAGGTCAATCATTTGACCTCCCATCCCTAAACAGGATGCTGGTTGCAATGTACCTAACTATATATCAGCAGTTGAGACTGTGTGACTTGCAGGTCAATGGGCATGGGTTTTCTATGGTTTTCTTACCGGTTTCAAGAACAAACAAATTTTCCCAAGATATCCCAAGGACTGAAGTGGAGAACAGTCTACCAGGTCCACCACGTGTAGACAGAACTCGACACCCATCAGGCCCATGGTCCAGAGCTCGTCTGCATGCATCCATCCTTCATGGCATTCTTCACAAAACCCCCCACGAAGAGCAACGTGACCACAGTACACCATGTTTTGGTCATTTGGCACCACAAAAAAAACACAAAGGCCCTAAGGCTCTCCAATGCTAAACTCAGTCGACATGAGTCATACTAAAACATACTAAAACTATCTACAAAGGTCTCCCTCTTTCCCCATTGCCATCTGTCCAGTTCAGCTAGGCCAAAAACTACCAAGGTGTGCCACGCGTTTCTTTGGGAATATGGGACCTTTGATTTCTGCTCTCGCTGACTCACTGGACAAGCACGGATCGCTGACTCATCCTCTCGCCCTCTCGCCCAGCGTCAAAGAGGAGGGCGGCAGCTTGGATAAGGCCCATTCCAGGCTCCGAGTGTACTGCCGACCCAGCGGCTGGTCTTGGAGACCTTCTGCAAGCACCCAGCCTTCGGAAGTCCGGTCGCCCCGCCCAGCAGCATGACCAATCCGCCTGGTTCCTCCCAGAAAGCCACAGTCGACATCCCCCAAAACAGACTCTATAGCAAAGACTGCCCTAATCACCGATGTTCGGAAGCAAAGGGTGCAGCTTCGACCTCCACGGCCAAGCTGGACCAGATTCAACTCCACCCGCAGTTCCGCCGTTCATCCCCGGCCTCCTTCCGTATCACCCAGTGCGAACCAAAAACTCCCCAAAAGATGGGCGGCCACTAAGACCATTAAGGCGGCTTCAACCAATGGCCAAAGCAAGCTGTGCTGTCGAATGGAACCTGTCCCGCCATGGAGGGACTGAAGCTTCTCCACAATCTTCGAGAACCTGAAACATCAGGCCCGAAAGTCAGGGAAGGACCCAAATTGGATCGATTTTGTGTGAACAAAGAATATGGCTGGGAAATCCGTTTTCATTTCAACAAAACGTCGGTACATCAAGTCTCTGCTGAATCATACATGTTTCTATCATGTCATGAACTAGCCCGACGACAGCCTTTCATGACGCTTCTGCTGCAGGATGCATACACACACATACATACATACATACATACAT